GAGAGAGAGAGAGAGAGAGAGAGAGAGAGAGAGAGAGAGAGAGAGAGAGAGAGAGAGAGAGAGAGAGAGAGAGAGTTTTCCATCGATAGGTTGAGCAACGCACCGGCCAACAGATAAGTCTTCAACCCCGCCATTGGCCTCACGCTACTTCCATCGATCGAACATCGAAACATACACTCAGAACAGGTAAGTCTCCAACCTCGCAGCTGGTCTCATGGTACTTTCATCTATATGATGAGCAAAATCGAATGAATCTACCGCTAGAACATGGCTGATTGATTGATTGAATGAAAACCAAAAACAAAAAAGGAGAACAGGGCGATTTTTTTGTTTTTTATTTTTTGATTGATCAATCAATCAATCAGTGTCCACCCCTCCCCCCCGCACCCCTTTCAACCCTGCCGCTCCTTCTCCCGCTCCTCCTCCTGCCCCGCTCCCCGTTTCCCCTGCCACTCCTTATCCCACTGCTCCTCCCGCGCCTTCTCCTGCTCCTCCCACTACCTCCTCCTCCCGCTCCTCCTCGGCCAAACAATGTGACAAGGATCCCACCATAGCCCCGCTCCCGCTCCTTCTCTCACTCCTCCTCCTGCTCCTCCTCCCTCTCCTTCTCCCACTCCCCCTCCTGATGCCCCTCCTGCTTGCTTCTCCTGCTCTTCCCCCTGTTCCTCCTCCCGCGCCATAGCCCCGCTCCCGCTCCTTCCCCACTCCTTCTCCCACTCCTCCTCCCGCTCCTCCTCCCTCTCCTTCTCCCCCTCCCCCTCCTGCTGCTCCTCCTGCTTGCTTCTCCTGCTCTTCCCCCCGTTCCTCCTCCCGCGCCATAGCCCCGCTCCCGCTCCTTCCCCGCTCCTTCTCCCATTCCTCCTCCCGCTCCTTCACCCTCTTCTCCCGCTCCTCCTTCTTCTCCCACTCCTCCTCCTCCTCCTCCTCCCGATCCTCATTCGCCAAACAATGTGACAAAGATCCCGCCATAGCCCCGCTCCCGCTCCTTCTCCTGCTACTCCTCCCCTCCTGCTGCTCCTCACGCTCCTCCTCCCACTGCTTCTCCTGCTTTTTCCCCCGTTCCTCCTCCCGCTCCTTCTCCCGCTCCTTCTCCCGTTCCTCCTCCGGCTATACCTCCTCCCGCTGCCTCCACCTCCCGTGCATTCGTTAACACCCTTCCCCGTTTCCCCTCCCGCACCTCCTCCCGCTCCTTCTACCACTCCTCCTCTGCCCCTTCCCGTTTTCCCTCGTGCTCCTTCTCCCGCTCCTAACCCCCTCCCCGTTTCCCTTGCAGCTCCTCCTCCCGCTCCTCCTCCTGCTCCTGCTCCCGCTCTTCCCGCACTCCTCCGCCCCTTCCTGCTCCTCCTCCCACTCCTCCTTTACCCGCTCCTTTTCCCACTCCTCCTTTACCCGCTCCTTTTCCCATCCCTCCTCCCGCTCCTCCCACTCCTCCCGCTCCTCCCACTCCTCCTGCTCCTTCTCCCACTCCTCCCACTCCTCCGCCAAACAACGTGACAAAGATCCTGCCATAGCCATCTTCTATGGAAAAAAAAGGCCCGCCGCGTGGCTAGCCGAGAGAGAGAGAGAGAGAGAGAGAGAGAGAGAGAGAGAGA